CCCCAAAACCCCAAAACCCCAAAACCCCAAAACCCCAAGAGAATTAAATAATATTGAAATTCTCAAAATGAGTAAAATGTTTGCAAGGAAGCAGAATAGTGTTTTAGGGATACTCCATTCCATCAATCAGAAGGCTCTTCAGAGTAAAAAGATTAAGGTTAAATCTCGTACTAAGAGTAAGAGGAATCGTACTCTTACTCAGAGTAGAGCCAGGCGGAAACTCCGCCCTGCTGATGCCCGCAGTCGTTATATGTCAGTTAGTAAGGATGGACAGTCAGAGCAAAGTGAGAAAATACAAGATATTCAACAGAGACAGACAGCCTTCTACTCCAACGATGATGTTCAGAGAGAAGAGACTGTTAATGACTTTATCCTAATTGACCCAGACCAGTGCCCAGAGGCCAAGAAGGAGGTTACTTATGACCCAAGGCCCTCTCTTAATGATAGAGTCTCAATTGAGATGAGATGTAATAGAGAAACCGCTCAGAAATCTTCACAAAAGAAGAGGAAGAGTACTTGTGATCCTGAGAGCCCACCAATAGAGCCTAAGAGTCCTATTATTGATGAGAAGGCTTGAAAATCACGAGAAACATCCCCAATCGCATCTGTACACTTCGGTGTATTTGATGAAGACAGAAGGTGTACTGTGAACTGTATAAACCCACCTCAGAATGTCTGAGATTCCATTGCAAAAATGAAGTTCAAAAAGAAAAAGAGGAAATCCCAAGTAAGAAGGAGAACTAAAGTAGTCAGCTTTCATCTTAGCGACTTTGGAGAAGTTGAAAATTTTGAAAATAAGGAGAATAAAGGCCCTGATGATTGTGAAGTCTCCCAATTGGTGAACTCCCAAGAGAAATCTCCTTTTAAAAAGTGCGAGCAGGTGAAGGAAATGAACAAATCTCCTGAGAAGATAGAAACTGAATCAGAGGACATGGAGTTTAATGACATTCATCTTGATACAAATGGATGTTCCAGGAACGAGCTTCCTAAATTAAGACTCAGTAAAAGTATTGAACGGTTGAACAGACTGAAATCTCCTCGGAATAAAGTTCTGGCGGATAATAATTTTAAGCTGATTGGAGTTGACCTTCGTGAGTCGTTGAAAAACAAGATTGATCAATCAGTAACTCTTCATAAGAACCAATTCCTTCGTAAGTTATCACCCATGATCTTTAGAGAACATGAAGAAAGGGAAAGGATCAGGTTTCTCCCTAAAATTAAACGAAGTTGTGCGAGGTGAAAGGAAAAGCAATTTGAAGAAATTCATAGAAACTACTGACCTCTCTCCAAACGGCAAGAAGAACTTTGAGTGTTTCGTTGAGCAAACCAAAGAGAAGAGGGTGAAGGTCACTGGAACTCTTAGGAAGATCTTTAACAACTCTGTAAATCGTCGGAGTAAACATAAGAGTCGCTCAAATTTACAGAGCTTTATAAGCACCCAGAGCAAGACTCTTGATCCGATAGCTGATGAAGAGATTAAGAAGAAGATAAAAACAAATCAAAATATTCTAAGGTTCAATAGAGAACTCAGGCAGGTTTATGATACTAGGAAGTTACTTCATGATATATCAGTGCCATATTATTCAGGTTATTTAGGCTACTTCTTCCGAAAATGATATTGGGAGCATACTTCACAAAAGGAAGAAGAAAATCTCTCTTGTGTTTCTGAAAACTTCCATGAACCACAAAAATTAGAGAGGAAGATATGAACCAAATCCAGGCAGAAAAGTGAGCCAGATCTAAGCGCTAGGATTCCAAAGAACCTTGATACTCCCTTTTTGCCATATCTATCCGAAGAATGGAAGAAGATCCATCATGAGCACTTAATCGAGAGTCTTCAGAGTTATCAATATCTGAATGATTTGAAAACACCGAAGACGCCTCCTATGATAAAGGAAGAGGACTATATAAAGCCAATTTCTGGAAAGAAGCTGCTGATATTCGATATGGATGAGACCCTAATTCATTGCATTCCTGATGCAAAGCATGGCCAGAAATGAGAGGTTAAGATCCCCGTGAAATACTCTGATAAAATTAGCTATAAATACATCAACCTCAGGCCCTATGTGAGGGAGTGCTTAAAGGAGCTATCGCTGTTGTACCAGATAATTGTCTTCACTGCTTCCACACAAGATTATGCAGACCCGATCCTTGATTATCTTGATAAAGATAAACTTGATAAAGGTAAGGCGAACAATCCCATTCTTTAGGACAAGGATTGATCAAGAAAAGGTACTACAGACGACATTGATATAAGACAAAGGAAAACTGAACAATGAAAGGTACTTTGAGATTTCATCTCTATAGACCTCAGAATTTTTGAGAAAATGGGATATGACATGAAAGATGTGATCCTCGTTGACAACGCTACACATTGTTTTGGATTCCAAGTAACGAATGGAATCCCAATGGTACCGTTTTTTAAGAATACTGAAGATCTGGAAATGATCCATATCTTGCATTTCCTCAAAGAAATAGCTGAAGTTCATGATGTTAGGCCAATTTTTGAGAAAACTTTCATGCTTCCTAAGTTACGAAGGAATTCAATGTTGGAAAGAATTGAAGGAGTCATTGAGCAATGTGTTGAAGAAGTTGACGATGACTTCTTCCTTGAAGACAAACCGTCGACTGTAAGACAAGATTTGTTCATCTTATAGATCAAGCAGGAGAGAACTACAAGGCGAGAAACCATGTCTAACTGAACTCTTGAAGAGGTCTGATCCGAAGGTGTAGAAGCAACTAAAATTAATACCTTAATGAGAACTTTGCCAAAAGCTCCTGTACGTGACTTAAATCTAGTAAGTTTCCCCTAAATTTTAGTCAAACTACAGAAGGAAAGTTAAGAATGTATCTCGGAAAACCCCAGAGGTGAACCTTGAAGAGTTTGATATCATCGAGACTGTTGTCCTCGAATGATAGTTTCCTTCTTGGATGCTTATCGTCACAAATCTATGCTAAAATTTCAGTTAAAAGAGCAAAATCCGGGGTTTTGGGGTTTTGGGGTTTTGGGG